TAGCCCAGGCTGGTCTCGAACTCACAAGGATCCTCCTGCCTCATCCTCCCGAGTGCTGGGATTACAGGCATGCGCCACCACTCCCGGCTGTGAGGTTTTTTGTTTTTTGTCTTTTTACTGGAGTTTTTAAACTTCAGCGATGTTACTGACTGTCCAGCTAAGGGTCCGGGTCACAGAAATCAGAAGGCGCCACAGAAAGTCGAAGTGCCGTGTGCTTCATCCAGAGATGATGGGTTAGGTCAGAGCAGAACTGGATGCGTCGCTCCTTGGTCCCCCGCACCCTTGTACCTTGCATCCGCTGGGCTCCAGGGAGGGGAAACGTGGGGCACCGTGGTGAGGGGCGCCTAACTCTCGGCTCTCCCTGCAGGTTTTCTGGCTTGCGGGCTCCCTGCTCATCATCGGCCTGGCCTCCGTGGTCATCCCCACCACTGGGTGGCGCTGGCTCATCCGCATCGCCTCCATCCCGGGCATCATCCTCATCCTGGCCTTCAAGGTGGGGAAGTGCTCCCCTCCCCCTGCGCTTCCTGCAGCCGGCGCGCTGGCCCTGGGGTCCCATGGGTGTCTACCCCAGATCCATGTCTCTCCTTCCTCGGAGAGTTCTCTGCCTTCATCGTGGGTCCTGGCAGTTTGGCCCCCGGCGTGCTGACTTTCCTCTGCCCGGTAGCACTCACCCTTTGGAAGCTGTCCATGGGCTCAGGCGACAGCAGACCTGCTGGCGTGTCCTCTGCCCTACTGTCTCAGGAGCTGCCAGCTGCAGAGCTACCATCTCCCTGTTTTGGAGCAGAGCTCTGCTCCTTGTTCAAAGACAGGATGGGCCCCTCAGCAGAGCTGGACTCCGATGCTTTTATGTCATCTGCCCCGCAGAATGGAAGCATTTCAGCTCTCACAAGGGTTCTCAGTGGTCTCTTAGTACAAACCCCGAACTAGGCATAGGAGAGTGAGTCTCCGGCAGAACGCACCCGGCTTCAAGCATGTTTCTGTCTTCCGGCGTGCCCATCCCCAGGCAGTTGTTAGCACGGCTCTCATTGAGACAAAAGACCTTCTACTTTTACTGCAGGTCCTACTACTTCTCTTTGGAAAACCAGAGCTCTGCCTTCTCGCCATGGCAACCCTTTAACTATTGGGGAATGATGCATTCCCAAGCTCTCCCTCTTCTGATTGAAGTGTAGTCATCACCTTCAAGTCTTTCCCATGATAGCTGACCCCGAGCCTGCCCTTCTGCTGCTGGACAAGCCTGGTCGGCAGAGCGCGGTTGTTTGGGGCCCGTTGCTTACTGAGTAGACCATGCGCCTGTGTGGTGGTAGATAGGTGTCCTGCTTGCTTGGTGAGCTGCATCCCACAGGTGCATGCTCCGGGCTTACCATGGACGACAGCCCTAGGACTTCTACAAGCCTAGAACCTGACCTGTGACTAATGATGTATTTCCCTAACCCTAAATCAAAACATTTCCATTTCACCCTTTGTTTTTAGCGCCGTCTCAGCCCCAAAGACTTCCCTCTCTAGGACAGATTTCTGAAGTAGCTTTGAATTCAATAGAATTCCACCATCCCACGCACCTGAGCCTCTTTGCTTCCTTTCCCGCCTTGGGAAGGTCAGCCTGTGTGGTGGATGAAGTGAGGGCCGCCTGCCCCTGGGCTCACAGGCGTTGTTCTTTGTTACCTGTGCCCAGTTTATTCCCGAGTCTGCTCGGTTCAACGTCTCCACCGGGAACACCCAGGCTGCCCTGCGCACCCTGCAACGCATCGCCTCGATGAACCGTGCCGTCCTGCCGGAGGGGCAGCTGCTGGAGCCCGTGCTGGTGAGTTCAGAGCCGGCCTCACCCTCGGGGCGGGCATCCCTTCCTGTGCCTTTTTTATTGTGCCAAGATACGCTTGAAACTTACCGTCTTCCGCATTTTGAAGTTGGAGATTGGTAATGTTAAGTGCATGCCGCCATCTCTGCCATCAATCACCAGAGCTCTTTTCACGGCACGGAATTGAAATTCTGTGCCCGATAAATCAGAACTCTCCTTTCCCGTCTCCCTTACTCTGTGGCCACCACATTCTATTTTTTGTTTCTTTGATCGTTTGTTTGTTTCTATGAAATTGCATTTTCCAAGTGCCTTATGTAAGTGGATATAGCAGCTGTCATTTGTGCCTGGCTTATTTCACTCAGCATAAGGTCCCCAAGGCCCGTCCATGTCGTAGCACATGTCGGGTATTTTGTCCTTCTGTGTGTGACACGGAGGATGGAACCTGAGACCTTACCCCAGGTGAGTGTTCTCGCCCTGAGCTGTGTCCCTAGCTCCAGGCTTTCCTTTTCAAGGCTGCATAATCTTCACTGCATGTGTAAACCATATCTGGCTTTATCTGCTGATGGAATCTAGTGTTGCTTCCTTATTTCGACTGGTATGGATCATGTTACTGTGAGCGTGGGCGTCCAAAGAGCTCCGCAGGACCGTGCTCTCAGTGTGCATGCTCAGAAGAGGAACTGCAGGATTGCAGGATACTCCTACATCTAATTTTTTGAGAAATCTCCATGGGCACCTGTGACCAGTGGTTGATCAGTGCTCTGACTTTCTCCATATTCTGGCAGGAGTTATTCTAAAAAATATAAGACTATGATGCAATTTATTTCAAGATTGTAGTCCAGTTCATTTTATACTTTCAGTTGAGTCAGTTTTAGATATATATATATATAATCATTAATCTCATCTAGAGTTTTCAGATTATTGATATAAAAGCATTTCCAGTAATCTCTTAAATTTAGTGCACTCTCTGTCTCTCTGTGTCTCTCTGCCTGTCTCTATATATGTATATATACATATATACACACACATACACATAGTTTGCTCAAAAAATGTGTACACACTTCAGGAAAAGAAAAACTTGTATAAATATGTTAATACTTTCATGGGGAACCCTAGAGGATGTTGTATATCACAGAAATCCTACTACACTGCCGGCCCTTGGAGAAGAAATTGAAAATGCATGTGCAGCAATCTCAATGACCAAGCAGCAGTTTGCTGTGCTAATAAATATCTGGAAGCTAATGGCCACTACTTTGAGCACCTCTTGTCATTGTAGTGGCCAAAAGTAACTTGTTTTTTGTTTTGTTTTGGTTTTGGTACCAGGAATTGAACTCAGGACCTTGCACTTGCCAGGCGGGTGCTTGTGCCGGAGGGCTCCAAAGGTGACTTGTATTCATCGCAGGATCACTCAATAAGTTTAGTATTAAAATGTTTATACAGATTTTTCTTTTTTCTGAAGTGTGTATACATTTTTCTGTTCTCTCCCTCTTAATGAATAAATACATATATATAAAATTTTTTTGAGTCAGGGTCTCCCTATGTCCCTATGTAGTCCAGGCTGGCCTTCAACTTGAGGTTATCCTCCTGTCTCAGCCTTCCAAATGCATGCACCACCAAGCTGGGAGTAGAAGTTTAAAAAGTCTGTGCTTGTGCCCTTTCTATTTTAATGCCTTTATTTTTCTTGTTCCAACTTACTGAGGTTTATCTATCTCATTAGGCTTCAAAGAACAAACATTTTAGGTTGATTTACTCGTTGATTTTTCTTGGTTGTCTCATTAAGTTTTAAATCTATTTTTCTGCTGTCTGTGACAAGTTTGGAACTTGAGAAGCTAGAATTTTCATTTGCAGTCTTTGATTTCAAAGCAACAATTTATTGCGTTCAGCAAGTCTTGTTACAAAGTAATTTTATCTTCATTTCTGAACCGTTACTTATTATTCTTTAACCACTGAATTATCTGATAACTAGTTTTTAAAAATTTAAAAATTATTTAAAAAAATTATTAAGTTTCTAACTTCATTATTCTTTGGTCAGAAGATATGAGCAACTATTTGGAATTTGAGACTCTTCTGTTCTCTAGATAATGATGGGTTTTGTTTTGTTTTTTGTCTTTTTGAGACAGGGTCTCGCTATGCAGTTCAGGCTGGCCTTGAGCTCACTTTGTAGCCCAGGCTGGTCTTGAACTTGCAGTGATCCTCCTGCCTGATCCTCCTGCCTCAGGCTCCTGAGTGTTGGGATTACAGGTGGATGCCACCACACTGGGCCAATAATAACATTTGTTGATGTCTCAAGAGTGCTTAAAGGAGGGAGAGTAAGAGGAAGTAGAAAGAACCGAGTGAGTTTTGATGTGTACGTATGTGTGCCAGTTTCCCATGATGCATGTATTTATTATGTATTGCACACATATACTAATAAAAAATGGAAAAGAGCTAATGAAGTGAAAAAGTATTTCCAAGATAAACAAAAATAAAAAGTGTACATGTTAGGACCAGAGGTGTGGCTCATTGCCGGAGTGCTTGCCTAGCATGTGTGAAGCCTTAGGTTTTATCCTTGCGAAAGAAAAATGATGCCAGGCATGGTAGCACACACCTGTAATTCCAGCAGTCTGGAGGCTAAGGCAGGAGCATTGCCTTGAATTCAGAGCCAGCCTAAATTACAGAGTGAGACATAGTCTCAAAAAAAACCAAAAAATGTTCTCATTGAGTTTAATTGTTCCTTATAAATATTTGATACTTGTACTAAATTTTGCCTCTTAAGCTAATAGCTTTTCAATAGGTGGATGACTTGACTTCTGCTTGTAGGTCTGTCAGTTTACTCTGTATATTTTGAGACTACATTGTATTAGTGTGATTTCATTCATGAATTATTCTTATTACCTAGAGTACTTATCCTTAGTTTGGGGCCTTAAATTCTACTTCCTCTTATTAATGTATTGAAACTAGTTTTGGTTTATATTTGCTTGTGCATTCTTTTCCAGCTAGTCTATTTTCAGCCTTTACTGATGTGCTTTCAATATATTTGTTGTAAATCTGTAATTGATTTTTTTTTCTTTTTGGCTCAGTCTGATGTTCTATGTCTTTTAAAAAGAAATTTGATCCATTTACATTTATTGTGCTTAGTGATGTATTCGGATTTCTGTCATCTTACTCTCCTATGTTTTCTCTTTTCCTACCTTCTGTAAGACATATTGGCTTTGCTTTCTCCCTTATATTTTTTTTTATTGGCTTGGACTTTATGCACTGTATTTCTTTTATTACAAAGGCAGTTCAAAGTGTTGAAATGCAGACTTGGATGATCTTGTTTTTGTGTGTGTGTGTGTTTGGTTTTTTTTAGTACTGGGATTCAAACTCAGGACCTTGTGCTTGCTGGGCAGGTGCTTATGCCACTGAGCTACATCCCCAGCCCAGACTTGGATGATCTAATGCTATTTGACATTTTTATTTGCTCTCTGGATAATAGGATCTTGTAAATTATCATCTTCCAAGTTATTTTTGTCTCGTATTGTAGTTTTACTTCATTTGTAAGCTTCCCTAAAGTATTCCTTACTTTAAGCCAGCATGTGTTTCGATTTATTAACATTTTTGCTAGTATCTTTTTGTTATTGACTTCTAAACTCAGTTTTTATTGCTTTACTAGTTTCTTTACTTTCTATCATCTGTTTCATTTTTTTTTTAATATTAGGTTGGCTCAATCTGAGTTTTTTGGATATAAAAACGTGGTACAAATCTAGCTTTGTCATTTCCAAATGGCTAATCTGTTATTCTTAATTTTTTTTTTTTTTTTTTTGGCAACACTGGTAATTGAACCCAGGGTCTTTGCACTGAGCTATATACACCCCAGCCTTCTTAAATTTTGTAAAGTTCTTAAGTTGTCAGATTGGGCCCGAACTTGTCTGTTAAAAAATCCATTCTTTATATATTTGAACCTTCTTTGAATAATCTATTCTGTTCTCAGCATAGATGTGTATGCTCAAATACACATAGGAACTTAACACATAATAAAGACAAATTTCAAATTGTTGGAAAAGGATAGATAGGTCTATTTCTAGTATGACAGTGCTTTAATAATAGTGTTTTATATTATAGTTCTATGTAGGGCAAGGTTGGTCTCCCTGGTTAACATTTTTCAGGGTTTTCCAAGCTATTTTCTAGGCTGACTTTTCTTTTCTTTTCTTCTTTTCTTTTTTCTTTTTTGGCACTGGGAATCCAACTCATGACCTCAGGCTTGCCAGGCAAGCGTTTATGCTACTGAGCTAGATCCCTGGCCAGAGGTTGACTTTTCTAAAACAATTCTGGGTTGGGCATGGTGGTGCAGGTCTGTAATCCCAGCACTTGGGAGGCCAAAGCAGGAATATTGGCCCGAGTTTTAGGCCTGCTGGACTATAGAGTGAGACCCTGTCTCAAAAAAAAAAGAAAAAAAAATTCCAGAGTTATTTTGGTGATTTTCTTCTTCTTTTTCTTTTTTAAAAAAATTTATTGTAAGAGTAAAAGAAGGATAACATAGTAATGGGGGGGGCTTACCAAATTACAGACAAAGTGGTAGGACATTATCAACGGTTGTTGTTTTACATATTGTTATCTGCAAGATAGTTTCTCAGGAAAACAAATAGACAAATAATACTGAGTTACAGACAAAAGAGGTAGGAGATTATCAATGGTTGTTGTACTATACTTAGGTATCTTCAAAGTGGTTTCTAAAGAAAATAAATAGAGCTATACATGAGTGACCAATTGAATAATCATTGACCATTCTCAGTGGTTGTTGTAGGAGACACATAATAATAAACATACATCCATGTACGAAATAGCATAGGAACAATACAAACATTACAAAGTTATGGACAAGTTAGTAGGAAAATATCAATGGCTGCTGTAGTACATGGTGGTGCCTTCACTGGTGATTTTCTTCTGCCTTCCTCCTGGACGTCCTAGAACAGTTTGGGATTTTGTGGACACTGCAGACCAATAGAAAATCCATTTCTTTATCATCTTGAGTATTCCTGCCCTGCCCG